TTCTGCCCACGCACCCGACACGCCCCCAGTGGCAATGCCTTGCTCCCTGGTCCAAACGGAAGTAACTAAATCATCTTTGACGATTGCTATGGCTACTCCTGCTCCTGCCTGCTGCTCTTCCTTCTCCTCATTGCTCGTTCCTTTTGCTATTCTCTTAATAAACATAATTGTGCAAACGGAAACGACCATGAGATATCCTGGTGCTGTGTGCTGGCTGCTGGCTGCTGGCTGCTGGTTGCCCTCCTGCTTTTTGCATATTCATTTGGGAATTTGGGCTACGAGCAGGGGGTTGGGCCCTGGCCCGGCACACACCCCTTGGCCAACTTATGACAGGCCATAACCATTTAGCAACCGGAGCACAATGAGCATAAATGGTGTACAACAATTTCGAAACAATTGATTGCGCTACAAATGCCCCGTTTATTGGCAGTAGTAGGAGGACCTGGCTATACACTCTGCTGATCCTGCCTGGAGTTTAGCTGCTGGCGTTGAGCAGCACTTCCGCCAGGTCGTGTGTCCGGTACGGCCGGGCCACGTGGTAATCGAAATTAATGGCCAACTGATACAACGACTAGCAGTTGAGGCTTTGCTTAGGCAAACACTAAGGTACAATTGTGGTTATCTGTGGGAGAGGGGAGAGCAGGGTGCAATGCTCTGGGGGATAAAAGATTTCTTGTTGTTTATGTGAGGCTCTTATCGAGGTGATTTCTCACAGCCCGGATGGCAGCGCTCTCTCGTATCAAATTGAAAGAAATTGTTTGCTGCTCGAGGTGCAACATCCTCTCTGCTCCATTCCCCATTCTCAGGTATCCTTGCTGCCAGTCAGCGATCGATCAATCAATGCGCACGTCAAGAAATGTCAAGAACAAATGCGCAGCCAAAGAATGGCTGAAGTTTTGAAAAGTTTTGACTCGCTGCTGGCCCCGTCATTGTTCTCTTTTCGCGGGCCAAGATCATCATCAACTTCCAGCCAGGAACAACAGTGGCAGCAACCATTGATATAAGCTATTAAGATTGCACAGCTACAAGAAGGAACTCGCCTCGATTCTCGGGCATATCCTGCCTGCCTGCTCATTATAAGCCCCATGGCCCTACCGACCAACACTTAGCGCCGGCTTCGACTTGCTCTTCGTCGTTGGCTTCGATTGCATCTCCTTTTTGGCTGCCTTTTGGGATTCTTCTTACTCTGCTTTTTTGGTGCCCTGTGCACGCTTTTGCATGCCGCCTGGCTCTGGGGCTGCAATCGCGATTGGAGTGGAGTGGAGTGGAGCTTTGGTGGCTTTCATGGGGAACCCGTCGGCTTTAATTATGCCCGCGTGGTGTTAATGAGATCTTGCATGGCCTCCGCCTGCCTCCCTACTCCTGTGACTAGTTGTTGTGGCTCAATCGCTGTGCTGTGGTGTGCCTGCATTCTAAGTGGCGCAAAAGTTTGCGTGATTTAAAGGGCTTCATTAAGTTCGTGAATTCGACTAAATCACGCGCTCCACTCCCCATGCGGCGGCGGCGCATGTCTTGACACCAAGCCGGACAGAGAGAATTGCGAATTAGCGATGGTTTCGTGACATAATAGATAGATACACGACGATCACGATGGATCAGGCAAATAGCTTGAGTTTAATCCGATTGGGAGAGTTTTGGTTTATTTTTGAGGGATTTTTGAAAAGGTTTTACTGTCTATAAAGATCAGAAATATTCCATTGCAAGTTACTGTAATTTAAACCTTTAATCATTGCCTTTTCTTCTCAGTTATTGTCACGCTACCATCCTCAGTATTGACACCAAAAGAGGCAAAAACCAAAGAGTAAGTGTAAGCATTATATGACCAAGATAAGTGTCTTGGCCTCCGCCAGCAACAGCTACAGCTGCCTCACTCCTTTAGGCTGCTGCTTCCCCACTCCCTATGCCTGCTCCTGGCACTGGTATTGGCAATCCTCAACCTCCTACCGTCTTTCCCGTCTGTGTCTGATGTTACGCACTTCCGATCTTGACCAGCAGCACACGCAGCAGCAGCAGCAGCAGCAGCAGCGGCAGCGGCAGCATTCGAATTGCCTGATCAGACATTTTTCGCTGCATTTGACAGGCTGACGATTTATGTGCCTGCCACAAAAAGGGAGCCCCAGAGATGTGTGCTGCTGCCTCCTCCAGCACAGCCCCCTGCCTGCCAGCACTGCTGACATCTTCTGTCGATGGCAGCCCAAAAGTTGAGGCCCTCTGAGGTTCTGAGGGTTTTCTGTCTGGACGAATATGACGACAAAGCGATAAGATCTACGACTCTGCTTGTTAAATGCAGCCAGAGTCTGTGTCTTTCTGCTCTTTTGCTTCAGTTTTGTATTGTTTCATCAAGAGCGTTTACCGTTATGCTCATTAAATTTGCAACAGAACCCAAAAGAGCAAAAGCAAGAGCCAGGCAAAGGCTCCATCCCCCCATTGTTCGCCGCAATCAGAGAAACAAAACAGAATAAGATTTTCGGTTAGTAGTAGAATCTCCCAAAAAATAAAGGAGAATAAGCAGAAGGAACACGGAAAACAAGAACACAGCAAAACGAAACCTTAAACAACGCTTCCGGCGTTCGGCGAAAAAACAAAATGTAAAGAACAAAATGAAATGCCAAAGCCAGAGGAGCACTGGGCACTGGGCACTGGCACTGGGCGCTGGAAGTTGTGTCAATCAATAAGTTGCTGCGTTCCCTGGGATGCGTTCTGCATGTTAATGCCCAAAAATACAGAGGTAGAGGGAGAATCAAGAGCTCTTACTTCTAGCGAACAATCGATATGTTTGAGAGCGCAACATGGACAAAAAGGAAAGTCCTTAGACAAGCTGCAAGAGGGAATTCCCTCATGGGGCTAGAGGTAGGTACATGTGTAGGGGATATCCCTACTACATTCCGGCCATTCCTGAGTGTTGTCTGTTGATTTTATATGTGGGGGACTGCTGCTGCTGCTGCTGTAGGAATTTGTAAATTTAAAATGCTTCAGATGCCACACACACACACACACACACACAGAGAGCGGAGCAAAAACTATGCAAGCTTTGACCTGTTTGCACATCCCAAAGGGAGGGAGAGTGCTTAGCATTTGCCCAACTATCTATCTATCTATCGGATCTTATGTCTGCGATTTGCTGTGTTATCCGCTTCTGGCGATTACTTGTTTACCAGCATCAAACAACTTAACTACTTGGCGGCTTTACTTCCACTCCCAGTCCTGCTGCTGCTGCTGCCACTTTGCCCTCACTCCCACTCTGGGGGTCTTCGGTTCTGCTCTATTGATTGCTATCGTTGCCTGGGCAAATCAACTGTTTATTTGTCAAATACGTATTACAGCTAAAAGCAACAGCAACAGCAACAGCAACAATACCCAACAACTAATAAAACATGGCTGAGATTTCCTTTGAGTCAACAAACACACAGCTCGAAAAACGCTGACACTGCACATATGTGTGTGTGTGTGTGTGTGTCTCTCCCTTTTTTTTTTGCCTTACCAAAACGCCCCCCACATAAAGACTTTGACACTGTTGATATTTTAGGCGTTAAGAATGGTATAAAAAAAAGAAGGAACGAAGACAACAACGGACCCCCAAGGCCCACACACAAACATCTTGACCATTGTTCGGCTTAGTCTTGGCCTCCGCCTCTTGCCTTTGCTCCATAAACAATTTACACTGTCCTCCTATCGAAGTTGTCTTGGGCAGAGGGGTTCTAGCAGCCAATTCCTTTGGGTAGCGCATTTGTGCTGCACTTATGTCGGCCTAATGAAGATAACAGCATAATTTGGCCCAAAAGTTTCCTTTTCCTATTTCCCCCCACGAAATCAGAGTTCGGGCAGCGACTTTTTGGCCTGTGTGATTTGTCTTTGCGGCCGGCAGTCGTAGGCAATTGATAGCTGGAAGCTGTTAGGTGTTAAGTCGAGTGATATGGGACAGTAATTGGGGGGAGGAAGGCGGAAATCGAAGACAATTGAAATGGTTATAGTTAGGGAATGGACAAGGTGATGACCAGGGGGCAAAGTGGAGTACATAAGAGAGGGAGAGGTCTTGGAGTACATAAAAGAGGGAGAACTCTTGGCTAGAAATGGGTGCACAGTGCAGGGTATCTTTTCCATATATTACCAATCAAACTCAAATGAAAAGCAGCTCCTCCAACTCTCAACTTCCCCATGTCTTAGAACCTTCTAAGAGCTATCGGATCAACCTTTAAGTGGAGAAAAACCTACTGCCTCCTGCCACCTGCAACTCCAGCTTCAAAGTCTTCCTGCTTCACCTTCCCCAATCAATGTTTCACCTATGACTATGATGGCTCCTCCTCATGTTGTTTCCATTGTTGTTCTACCTCTTGGCCAACACACACACACACACAACCATCTTGCTCTTCGCATAAGCAAAATTCTGCTGACAAAACACAAAACACAAAACATTCCAGAAATCGAAGTAAAATGTTGCCACGAGAATTTCCCTTTTGTTCGTTGTTGGCCCCCCACTCCTCTCTCTTGTGTTATTGTTGCTATTGCTGATGGCATCTTTGTTGCTCTTGTTGTTGTTGCTGCTGCTGCTGCTGTTGTTGTTTGAGCCAATTTACTGACAATTTCCAAGCACTCTGCTGGCTTCAATCTAAGCGAGAATTTCATTCCTGCTCTACGTGTAACAGCCTTGATGTTGACGAGCTTTGCCATGCCACAACCCCATTCCCCACTCCTTTTTGGCCAACGCCTTTGTTAGCTGAAATTTAATGAAGTTGGTTTAATTGAAGTATGGTTCGGTCTCTGTCTCAGTCTCAGTCTGTGTCCTCCTACCCCCCAGCAGGTTCTGCCTTTGTCCCCTTTCCTCCCGCTGCTGTTGACTGTTTAATTTTACAAATTTGCTACGCAGACAACACAGACAACAACAGCAACAACAACCAGTGTCAAGCATTTTTCTCTTCCTCTCTCTGTTGCTGGTTGCATCCTCTTTTGCATCCATTTAGGGGCATGTTGCATGGGTTGGGTTCTGGGTTTTTCTGACTTACCTGATGGACTCGACGAAGGAGCTCTCCTCAGCTTTTTGTGTGTGCAAGTGTCACAGTAACCATACGACACACACGCAAAATATTTTCACGATTTCATTCTCTGTCATTTGCTGCATGCCACAGTGTGCTTCAAAAAATTGTTCTCTACAGAGCTGCGTACGGAGGCGGCCCTACCTGCAGCGAAGGCAGACTCCAAAATGCACTGCAAGCAAAGGGAAAAGCAAACAAAAATTAATAAAAGCAACAAAAATCAGTACAATTGTAGCTGGAACTTGTGCAGAGTGTGGCCCATAGTTGAGTTTTCTTTGAGTGTACTGAGGCTGGCCCGTAAAACCTTCAAGCATCCATCAGTTTCACTTAATATTGACGCCAAATATGCGCGCAATGCTGACAAAACGATACGAGAATGGCAGAAGGAGGAGCAGCAGCCAGCTCAGGCCTCATCATCATCAGCAGGCAGCAGCAGCCAGGCAGCAGCAGCCAGGCAGCCAGGCACAGGCAAACCTTTCATCGAGTCTTCCTCCTTTCGAAACATTTCGCTGTGACATTCATTAATTATTTTATATGGAATTCTACGCATTGCCACGTACACGCTGGCGACATGAAACATGTCTCTAGGTCTCTCCTCCTCAGCCAGCTTGCAACCTGCAACATAGACGGCCATTTAGCCATATCAATTAGAGGGGGGGGACTACGGACTACAAGCTGCACAGAGAAAGAACCCATCAACAGCAGCAGCCACAAGCAACCACAACCACAACCAACAGCCACATTCTCATTGATAACCAAAGAGAACTCGTCGTCGTCGTCGTCGTCGTCGAAATTAACTTGGTCATCTTGCTGCACTTGAGTCTTGGAGCCGGGAATTGTCTGCGCCACTTCATCGCACAGTCGCAGTACCCCCAGTACCAGTTCCAATCCCTGACTCTGTGTGGCTCCAGGTTTTTGGTGCTCTGTTGTAGTGGCTGGGCAAACAGCTCAAACAACGACCAAGAATAACACGCAGAAGAAGAGCAAACGGCAGCCAGAAGTGTCTCATGTGTGTCTCGACTCGTCGTCGTCGTCGTCTTACCGTCCAGTCATTAAATAAGCACTTTCCAATGCTCTGCCATCAGCAGGGATCCTCTACTCGAAACGGGCAGATCGGGAGCCGGTACATTGAGTCATCATTCAGCAATCAAAGCGCTGGCTCGCTGCCTCGAGGCACTTGAGAGATGCCTCGAAGAAGCCCCCGAGACAAAAGGCGTGTAACAAATATTAACAATGAAAATAATAATACTTCGAATGGTTTTGGTGAATGAACCCAAGGATGGTCCGAGACTATGGCCCCTCCATGATCACGCAGTTATCGGTTGTTATTGGCGTCGATCGCAAAGGACTGGCTGGGTAAACACGTGTTAATGAGTGGGGGACTCTGAATGGGCTCTGAATACGCAGTTGGGGGTTCGGGTCCTAGGGATACTACACTTTGTGGGTGGGCTGCTCTGGCTCTCTCTCTCTCTTTGCATCTCGCTCTGTTTGCGTCTCTTAGCTGGCAAATTGATAAACGCCATTGGCAACAGTGTGTGGCATGCCCCTTTTGCGTGTCCTCTTCTATGCTTGGCCAACGAAGCATGATGCTTGTGGCTTTGGGTTTGCTTTTGGCCAGGGCTGTGACAAAGTATTTGAAGAACATTTTCTATATCGAAATGATTGATCTGGAAAGCCACAAATTCAAATTTCTAGCCTTGCTGCGATAATTCCTTAAGAGGTTTATTTCGGGCAACTTCCCACACATGGCTCTACCGTGCTTTTGCGCTCCTTTCTGATTGAATCATCCAGCCCTGGACTGTTTTTGTCGTGTGCCGCCCACCCACAACCCAACCCCCCCCAAAAAAATGAAAGTCTTTCTACGCTGCCACAGTTATGAAACATGTCGCAAAAGATTCCAGCGCTCGAACAGGTAATTGGATTGACACTTTTGGGTTTTCTGATGTGGATGTGAAGGATAAGGATGGTAGAAGGAGAGATGCTGACTCAAAGCCCAGCAATGGCGTCGTCGCTGTCCTCCCTCAGCCTCGTCCTCAACGTCGTTGTCCTCCTTGTCTGGTGGAGAGTTGATGAGGCATTTGTCGCTTGTCGTTTGGTTGGTGGTTGCTTTTAGACTCTGCCAGCAGAGTCGATGATTGCGTTAGTTGTTGATGGGGAGCACGGGCAGGAGGCGCTGGCTGGCGACTGCCGACTGCCGACTGACGAGGGGCTGCCTCAAAATTGAGGCTCGCGGGCATAGAGTCGTCTCTACCCTCTCTCTATGAGTAGAGTATCTGCTGCCTCCTGCCCTCCACTTTCACCATAACTTTAGCTGATTGGCAGATAGAGTGGGCGGAGGATGACGGCATGGAGTCAGCCTGGAGACGGGGCAAACGGCTCTCCCTCTCCCTCTTAGTTTGCGTCGCGTTTTGAAGTTTGGAATGGAAATAATTGTTGCACTGTTTTCTAATTTACCAACGTCAAAAGTTCTTCTCATACTCTTGGATTTTGTTTGCTTAGAACACGCGACAGGGACAGGGACAGGGACAGGGACAGGGCCAGGCACAAGGACAGCCAGGAAGGGTGGACCGAGACTCGCTGAAGGATGAATTGCTGGGGCTGGGGATTGATATTTGATGCCTTGCCAAATCAAAGTGTTTGCTGCTTTCAAATATTTGATGATTTATTTTTAATATGCCTTAAAAATATTTACTTAGCTTAAGTTTCGGCCAGCCAAAGGTTTGGGAGCGCCACGGCGTGTGGCAGTGGCTGTGTGGGTGTCGCGCTGCCCGTGAATATATTTGCTGCGTGACAGCGCAAACATTGAAAGGATTTGCCAAAAGAGCAGCAAGAAAAAAATTGCCAAAATAAATGGCAATGATGAAACGCAACAAAGTGAAAAGGAACTAGAGATGGGTCCAGCGGGCAGAGTCCTTGGGCCATTGTTGTGAAATGTGAGCAAAAAGGGATGGTAAGAAAAATTAAATTGTATCTTTGGTTCAGGAGTCCGGGACTCATCGCTTAAAGGTTCCAAAAAGAGAGTATTTGAAATGAGAACTAAGATCTGAAAATTTCTAAAAAGAAAGTACTTTTTAAAGCACTTCAAAATATATCCAAAATTATGGTTTAAAATCCCATTTTTCGATAGCTAAAGGAAGGTTATGATTACAGACTCCTTTCCTTTGAGCACAAAATTACTTTCATTTCAATCAAAAACTAAGGGAACTCCTCCACGGCTCCTCCTCCCGATACTTCCATGAAACTTTGGCCATCTCCAATTGTGGTGGGCAACCCCCTGTTCGGGGGGGTTAAGCTCTACAGCTCCTTCAATAGACACGACAATTTGTCCATTTCGCTGACGCGTACCCTGCTGACGACACTTTTTTGCATTTGCCAATGCGATGAGTGTCCAAATTTATGGCGATAACTGTCGATAGTTGGCACATACTTATACATATGTGTGTGTGTGAATGTTGCTTAACAGGCAAGGGGCAGACAGGCAGACAGGCAGACAGACGTAGAAGTCTACAGCGCAGAGCGGGCCTGTAGCGCCCTGCTGCCTGCCGACTTACGTAAGCAGACAGCTCCCAGCTTCAGCTTCAGCTCTCCAGCAGCAGCAACAACTGCAATTCAATGTTGCTGTCAAGCCTTGTCCCCCCCCGCCGCCGCCACATGCGCCTGCTGGCCCACAGAGCTGGTCTCGCGGACAGCAGCCATTCAGATAAAACATCCAACTGAGCAGGCTGCCCGTGGGTTGCTTTATACTCTGTTGGAAGAGTGTTGCGATTATTATTGGCAGTTTTCCACGCAGATAGAGAAGAACTTTGGCCTGTAAAGATTACAATTTTTGTATTTTTGTAAAAATTAAAGCCTTCTCTGTGTAGAACTTCGCTTAGAAGCCCATTTTGATGCAGGTTCATGTTCAGACTTTTAACTTCTAGGGAAAATGTCATTGAAATTGGACAACTTAATAGGAAAATCTTCTTAATTATTATTGCCTAGTTACCATTAAGGAAATCAACCAAATATTGATCAAAATTTGAGTAATTTATCCAAGAGTTTATAAGAGAAGGAAACTTTCTAGTTTAAATAAAGAGTATCCCAAGCTTCGCCTCTCCCAACGTAAATCTTTAATTCTTGTTGCAGTTGTTGCTCTTGTTGTTGTTGTTGTAGTTATTGTTTCTGCTGCAGTTGTTGTAAGTGCAGTTGCAGTTGCGAGAAATGAAGGTCAAATTGTTGTTGTTGCTGTTGCTGCTGCTGCTCCTACGGCTATGGGGGGCTATGTCGCCGTTTGACATTTTCATATTATAAACTTGTACAAAAAATAACAAAAATAAAATAAACCGTCTGATACTCGAAGTTGTCTAATGAGAAAATATTTTAAACGCTTTACACGCTTCCTTTGCAAAATGTAGCCAAACGCTAAACATTTGACTTTGAACGTGACATTGGTGCCTCTGAGGTTGTTGTTGTTGTTTCTTCCATCAAACAGTTGCTGCGACAATTAAGCGATAAACATTCCATTACACAGAGCCAACAGCCAGACATTGGGGTTTCAAAACACCAAAGAAAGTGCCACAAAATGTTTCAAATTTTGCCTCCACAAAATGTTCCAAAAATGCACTTCATGAACCGCAAATCTGCGCCCAAAAAGCACATTAAAGGATTGGCAATTAGCGTGAATGAAATTCGTTTGGTTTGGTTTATTTTATGGCTTCTCAAACCACTTGTAGCTGGCCCTGCGCCTGCTCTCAAGCTGTGTAAATTAGACAAGACGTTTGGCTCAGCCCCAACCCCACTCGAGTGCCACTCAATCTCCTACGGAATGACTCCGCATTGAGTGGTCAAATCTCTGGCTAATCAGCCTGCTGACCATAAATAAATCAAGGCTAAACAGAGCCCACAAAAATATATGTTTGGGTGGGTGGGGCAGGAAAAATTACGTCTTTCATTAAGTTTTGGCCAGGCAAAAAGGTCATTAATTATTTTGAACTTTCGCCTTGGCGGTCAACGGCAGTCAAGTGGCTGGGTAGTGGCCATGGGGAATGGGCACAGACCGAGGCACAGGCTGTGCCTAATGAGCATGAGATACGGATGCGGATACGGATATACCCCCTCCGATTATGGATTTGGCCAGAAACTAGGACTCGGTTTCAGCTTCGTACTAGATTAATGTTAGTTTTGTTG